TATGAAAGTGAAAAGATACAATTGTGTTAGAAGGTCCAGGGCCATGGTATCCTTCTCAGACATCATTCAAGACCTGGGTATTATAGACTTGCCTTTACAAGGAGCTTATTATACATGGTTCAGAGGTGAAGACTCATTGCAAGCTTCGAGAATAGACAGGTTCTTAATTTCCCCTGAATGGTGCGACAGTTTCAAAGCTATCAAGTAGCTAGCCCTCCCAAGAGTGATCTCTGATCACAGACCCCTACTCCTTGAGTGTGGTGACTGGGAAGCCACCCCCTCTTATTTCAAATTCGAGAATTTGTGGCTACAAGTGGAGGGTTTCATTGATAAGGTTAAAAATTGGTGGCAGAGCTATGTGATAGGAGGCAGCCTAGATTTTATACTTGCGCAGAAACTGAGAAGGCTCAAGGTAGACATCACTAATTGGAACAGAGAGGAGTTTGGCAGACTGGATACACAAAAGACTAAACTACTGGAGGAGTTAGCAATGCTGGAGCAAACAACAGAGAACAGGACCCAAACACAAGCTGAAAAGGAGAAACTAATGCAGATAAGAGTGGAATTACAGCAAATAGCAAAGGTTGAGGAGGTTTCATGGAGACAAAAATCAAGATGTTTATGGCTTAAAGAAGGTGACAGGAACACTAAGTTCTTTCAGAAAATGGCCAACTCCCACAGAAGGAACAATTACATTGACAGATTAAAGATAGGGGAGGAAATCACTGAGGACCAAGAATCCATCAAAGCTGAAATCCTAAGCTTTTATCAGAGGCTCTATTCAGAAAGTGAGCAATGGAGGCCTAGTGTCAACTTGGAAAACTTAGCTAGGATCTTGATGGAGGAAGAAGTGTGGCTGGAAAGAGCCTTTGAAGAAGAAGAAGTGATGGCAACCATCAATTCTTGTGCACCAGATAAAGCCCCAGTGCCTGATGGCTACACAATGGCTTTTTACCAAAAAACTTGGAACTTTATCAAGCCGGACATTATGGCAGCAATCAACCATTTCCACCATAACTGTCATATGGTAAAGTCCAGCAATGCCTCCTTCATTGCACTTGTCCCGAAGAAAAAAGGTGCAGTAGAGCTCAAGGACTTTAGACCAATAAGCCTTATTGGAAGTGTGTATAAGATAGTGGCTAAACTTCTGGCAGAAAGAATGAAGACAGTGATGGGGAAGCTAATCTCAGGGGAACAGAATGCATTCCTAAAAGATAGACAGATAACTGATGCAGCTCTTATTGCAAATGAGCTGCTGGATGAGAGACTTATAAGTGGAGTCCCTGGAATCCTATGTAAACTAGACATAGATAAGGCATTTGATCAAGTCAACTGGTCCCATCTTCTGTCAACACTAAGGGGAATGGGATTTGGTGAAAGATGGATAAGGTGGATCAAGTTCAGTCTAACCACTGTCAAATACTCAGTCCTCATCAACAGATCTCTCCCCTCAGAAAGGGATTAGGCGAGACCTTCTCTCGCCTTTTCTCTTCATCATAGTAATGGAAGGTTTGAGCAAAATGCTTGATAAAGCAAGGCAATTAGAATGGATTGAAGGGTTCAAGATAAGCAGCAACTCAGGGAATTCAATCTCAATCTCCCATCTGTTATACACAGATGACACACTAATCTTCAGTGGGGCTGAAAAACTACAGCTGCAGTACCTCAATCTAACCCTCCTTATTTTTGAATCTATTTCAGGTCTACACATAAACATGCTGAAAAGCATGATATATCCTGTCAATGTGGTACCTAACTTAGACGAGCTGGCAGGTATAATGAGTTGTGACATTGGCTCATTTCCTACTACCTACCTCGGACTACCCTTGGGAGCAAAACATAAGTCAGTGGAGGTGTGGAATGGTGTGATTGAGAAAGTGGAGAAAAGGTTAGCAACTTGGCAGATGCAGTATCTCTCAATGGGTGGAAGGGTGACTCTGATCAACAGTGTTTTGGACAGCATACCAACCTACATCATGTCCCTATTCCCTATGCCAAGTAAAGTCAAAAAGCAGCTAGACAAATTGAGAAGATCCTTTTTATGGGAAGGTAACAGTGAAGGTCACAAATTCCATTTGGTGAAGTGAACAACTGTAACTCAGCCAAAGTCACTAGGTGGTCTGGGCATTAGAGATCTTTCAAAACAAAGCAAGAGTTTGCTAATGAAGTGGCATTGGAGATATGGGCAAGAAGGCACAAGCTTATGGAAGGAAATAGTAAAAGCCAAATATGGTCACCTGGATAATTGGAGTACCAAAACCACAAGAGCTCCTCATGGGGTTGGGCCCTGGAAGCACATCAACAGCCTAAAGGAAGTCTTCCAACAAGAAGTGTCCTTCAAAGTTGGTAATGGAGCACATGTGAAATTTTGGAAGGATAAGTGGCTAGGGAACTTCACACTTCAAGAAACTTTCCCCATTCTATTCCACCTAGCTACTGATCCTAACTCAACAGTCGCACAGAATAGATCCAACAACACTTGGGAGGTCCTTTTCAGGAGAAACATACAAGACTGGGAGATAGAAGAAGTGCTTGACCTACTTGGAAGGTTAGCAAATTGTACAATGAGTATCCAGCACACGGATAAGCTACGATGGGGCACTTCTAAGGAAGGGGCATATACAGTGAAGGCAGGCTACAATAAACTTTGTGCTTTGAATGAAGTTATTGACATGTGGCCTTGGAAGCTAATCTGGAAAACCAAAATGCCTACAAAGGTCAGCTGTTTTGCATGGACGACTCTTAAAGGTGCTATTTTGACACAAGACAATCTTTGTAGAAGGAGCTTCCAGATTGTTAATAGATGCCACATGTGTAAGCTAAACTCAGAATCAATTAATCACCTATTTCTGCATTGCACAGTGGCTATTGATCTCTGGCACATGTTCTTCTCAATTTTTGGTATCAGCTGGACACTACCCCAGAACATTAAGGAAGCAGTTGAAAGCTGGAGCTTTTGGAAAGTCAACAAGGCCATCAAAAGTATCTGGAAAGTGGTCCCAGGTTGCATATTTTGGTGTCTTTGGACAGAAAGGAATCGAAGATGTTTTGATGGCATTTCAACTCCTATTCACTTTTTGAAAGCTAGATGTCTGGTGTATCTTTTTAGTTGGAGAAATATCTCCCCTGTAAATAATGTTATCCCCTTTCTAGACTTTATTGGCTCAATGAGCCTAGCCTGATGGCCCATTTTTTTGGTTAGCTCCCTATGATTAGAATAGCACATGATGTACTGGAGCTAACATCTCTTCTTTTGCACTAATTGCATCTTCTTGATGCCAGCAATACAACACCTTACTTCATCCAAAAAAAAAAAACGTTTCCCTTTGTCTTCCTCAGTTCGATAGCATTAGTGTTAATAGGATATTTTTATTCTTAGATTGGTATTACTACCTAGCGTTTACCTGCTATCTTGGCTTCGATCTTCTTTTTATCTTGTGTTGTTACTACTTGTTGTCATTACTTCTTTTTCATCTTTTCTTTAGCCGAGGATCCATCGAAAATAGCCTCTCTGCCCTTCCAGGGTAGGGGTAAGGCTATGTACATCTTACTCTCCCCATACCCCACTTGTGGAAACTCACTGGGTTTGTTGTTGTTGGTGGTGCTGCATCACTATCCAATAATAGAGGAAACAATGCTTCTGAGGTGTTGAACAATAGAGTTACTTATAATTCTCTCTCTCTCTCTATATATATATATATATATTTTAATGCAATTAATTTTGATAGCTTGATGGATGATTTTGCCACCAATTTAGGGATCCTGGCGGTGACTCTAATGGCTTTCATGGCAGTAAAAGCATGGTAATCTTGGTGACAATCATGGTGTGGGGGTTGAGAGCTCCCCGCCTTCCACAGTGAGGAGGAGGGTTCAAACCCCATCAATAACATAGCATCCTCTTTCCCTTTCCTGATATAATTAAAAAAAAACATGCTGTGGATGCTACAGGTCTCAAGGATAACAATGAATGAAGATGCCAATATGTTTTTTTTTTTTACCTGTAAGAAAAAAAACATGATAAGGTTGCTTGAGATTATTTAGTATTGGCACCTTTTTTTCCAAATGCACCTGTCAATAGATGCAGCATTGTGATGATCAAAGGATGTAACAGAGGACAAGATAAATTTAAATCATATGGATGATAGTTGTCTCAAGAGATCTATTTCTGTTGGAATCAAGGCAAATATATGATATCCCAACTAGTGGAGGTTGATGCATAGTTTTGTTGTTACACTTGTGAAATCCAGTGCCTTTTAGGACTCTGATTAGAGACTTGTAAGTTGGCGTAGAGATAAGTCTAAGATAAAGAGAATCTCTCGTTTATTAAAAAATCGTAATTTGCTTTAAAAGACAAAATTATTTAGTATTGAATGAATGGGAGTAGAATGGATATAGAGGAATCATGCCCCAAATAGTATCGGATTGAGGCATAATTGATGGATTAAAATTTTCATATATAAATGAGCATATAATATTGGAATAACTTATATCTACTTGCTGGAACCGTCTTGCTTTATCCCCATATTCATAACTGTGGTTCTACCGTTGTTTTTATCATGGCTAATCTATGGAGGTTTCTTGTGTTGACTAAGGGATTGTTTCTTATATTAGAATTATTGTAGTTATAATGAAGCTGTAAAACCTGAGACATTTGTTGGATGATGATGCATCATGCATTATTTGCCATATAATTCCCTTCTGATTGTTAAGGATGTGTTAAGGTATGTTGGAATTTCATTAAACTGGTGATTTGTCTTTTGCGTATTTGGTTCCAGTGGTCAAGGCTTGCTGTGTCTAGCAAGGCTAGATACGGAAAAGGAAAAAGACTACGGAAAACCTTGAATAGGACAGTTGTAATAAAGCCTTGTACGAACTGTAAGTTCTCCATAGAGAATTGAAGCTGCCCCTAGGCTATATATCGTCTACCCTGTGAACCTTTGGTTTGTTTCATGTGGAAAATTACTGTGATATTAATTCTCATCGTTGCATATATTCCGCAGGAGGCACTTCCTAGATTATCTCCTCGTCTTGGTGTTGAGGCTGTCCACAAGAAGATTGCAGCCGCATTTACTGAATGAGCTCTCAACAAGAATTTTGAAGCCAGTCTATGCTCATACCGCAAGGGTGATACTATGGTTGATATATACAGTTTACCTGTGTGATATGCCATAGAATATGAGAATACAAATGAGTAATACTAGATATTTATAGTACATTTTACCGCTAATAAATTTGTCTGGTACTAAATATAATGTTAGTTGTTGTAGCTCCATTCTTGGCACAAGGCTGGAATGATCTAACCATTACTAATCCTGCATCTGCGAGAAATTGCAATTTAAATGGAAGGTGACATTGCCAAGACTTCTCTTGGGAAATTCAATTTGGCAGAACAAATATCAGTGGATAGGATCCATAGTTTGTCCGCGAAGTTCGGGGAAACAGATGAGCTGATTTTGGTATATCTAAATCTTACTGAAAACTCTGAAGCATGAGTTATAGAAAGAAGATATTTCCAAATGTTGCAATAACTATGGAGTCCTTTACTGAAAATTCACCCGCACATAAATATGAGTACAAGGATGTTATACCTTGTAAATGATGTGGCAAAATGTACAATCTTTGGCAGAATCTAAGCAATTTAAATTTCCCAAAAGCTTACGTTAGGTGGCTGGTAGGAAGACACAAATGACTTTGCGCAAGATTTGGTTTAGAATCCCGGCAAACATTGTGGTGATAAAGGATAGGGAGAAAATCACAGACGTTTTCATGGTGCAATTGAGCCTAGTCATATGTTGAAGTCCCCAAGTGTAACAGACCTTGTTTATTGGTGCAACTTAAAAACAATTTAAGATGCTTTAATAGATATGGTTAACTTCCTAAATTTTGTAGTAGAGACTCATTTGTAACTGGACTCCCTGGTGCGGTCTCAATTAATACTAATATTTATTAGTATTAGCTCAACTAAAAGTAGAAGAATGATGTACATTTGGATTGCACTTGTTCCCTGAGCATAGGGCACTAGTAGTTTCACTTACAGAAGATATGATCTCCGTCCTTTTGGTTCACTGTGGATCAAAATAGTCCATTACAGAAGCAACAAATGGATACAAGTGAAGAGAAGAAAGAATTTTAGATCTTATGGCAGATAGATGAGAAGTTGTGGTTGATCTATTCTATAAGCTACATTTTCGTGTGATGGAAAAATTTGTCAAATCTAAATGAGCTTTTTCTTGCGAAAGTAGGACTTCAGATAGCATAGTTGCAGAGCTGCAACTGCTAAGCATATACCAAGGGACATTATGCTTAACCATGCCACTCTAGCATTAGTTTCCTCATTATCTTCCCTCATTTCTGCTTCCCTGCGACACGCATACAAGAAAAAACCATGTTACTTATGAGGTAGTAGCCAAAAGAAGGATAGAAGCATCGGTTGCACCAAGGGTTACTGAAAAAGTAAAAAAAAAAAATCAATTATCTTTACCTTAACTTATTTTGTCTCAGAACTGATGATTTTATAACACACTTCCCTATTAGGTCTTCATAAATCAAAACTAGGTCTTCATAAATCAAAACTATGAGGACAGCAGCAACTATGCTCACTACAAAGAACAAAGTCAGCAGCAACTATGTTCACTACATCAGTTACCCTTGACATTTTTGAAACGGTCAGCCATTACTTGTTGCTCTCTGAACTAAGTAAAGTATCAGAGAGTTGCAAAGTTGAGTACATAATTATAAGTTATCCACTATCCTAAAGTCTCCACTATAGATTTCCTTTGTTGTCTTTTGGATACAGCACGAGAAAACCAGCTTCTCATCACTATTAATATGCAGACTCCTGCTGGAAATATTAGTCATAAGTTTATGAAATGAAAGACTTGAGGCTTCAGAAACCAGCATTGGCATACACGCATGAATGGATTCTAACGCAAGAGGGAAAGGTATACAACTAAAAAAGTTAAAGGACTTCCAACAGCAATGAAAGCAAACCGCAAACATATATAATCTGGGGTCTGGAGCACATTTGAGAAAGTTAGTTACCTATGCTTCAGGTACTCTAAATTTTCCTGAATGGCGTGCACTATCCCTTCAAGTTTCACCAACTCAAGTTCGATACCCTACAAGGGAAAAAACACATGATGAAAGAATAAAACATGATTAGTTAAAAAAGAGAAGCATACACAATAACTAGTCCCTCCACGATGGAGGGAGTTAGTGTGGATGGCAATTATATACTTGTGAACTTACTTCTATCTTTTCCTTCCTTGCAACTGACTCCCAATCCTTTGCACTGATTCCTGTCTTCCAGTCAACACCAATAGTCACACCTTTAGCCCCAGGGGCATGGTTGTCCATCCAGAAGCATGCCAAGTAGTTACCAGCCTCAGTGGTTGTGAAGGCAAATTGACCATGAGTGACATTCTCTTTATGGTAAAGATTGTTTCCAAATGGTGATGTGACCTAAAAAGAAAGTTGCAATGATCAAGCTCATGAAAACTGCACCATAAGTGGAAATAAGTGCAAAACAAAATTACTTTTCTCAAGGCTAATCGAGACCTGACCCTTGTTTATGTATGATTTAATCAGTAGTATAGCCCTAATAAAATTTTCAAATATATCAGTGTTGAGCTATAATGTTAGCATGAAACATTTCATCCCTAGATTGACCTCAACGAAGATGAGATAATTTGTCTACACATATTGTACATAGAAATAATGTATCACTTAATGAGAGATGCAACACAAATTATTCCCTATAATGTAAATTTATAATCTTTGAGAAGACATAAAGTGTATGTCTTAAAGCTATCACCTTAGCACAATAAGGAAATCATGTTCATTACTAGCTCAGGCTAGGGGCTCTTTGATCCTCCTTTTCACAGAATGAAACACGTGAAGCCAATTACAGAATTCCATTTACAATGAATTAAGTGGTTAAAAATCAGTGTTCATCACCTATCAAAAAGAAGGAAAAAAAACTAATGTGTTGAATTCTATTTGTCACTGGACTCCAGATTGATCCTCCCCGGTCTATTTTTCTTGACTAAAAGCTTATATGATGCATGGTCAACAAGTTTCTACAATTGAAATCGAAGTACTAGCAGATGACTAAGAACCTAAAGAGAACAAATCGTCCAAAAGTTGGTACGCTACTCAAATTTCAGACGCTCGCCTTTTCACTGATTAATTAAATCTCAAAACTTCATTCTTTTGTAGGCTGTCTCTGAGAACATAAAAATCTGAGAAGTTAAGTGTTGCCAAAAGAGTCCATTCTGCTTTCATCCTGCTTACGAGGAACACAAGGATCCAACAAGGACAAAGGTCATGGACGCTGTCTTCGGGTTAATTTTCCTTTATCAACGGAGGAATACTATAAAATGATAGTCACTGCGAGATTCATGTTTGACACAATCTGACCAAGTCCAAAAATCTTTTTCTTGCTTGATACACATTTGACACTCTTGGGCACATTGTGTGCAATGTCACCATTCCTCAAGCATGCATTTTATAAACATTTGTCAAGAGGCTATAGCTTATATCATTTTCTTCTCGAAATAACAAAACTTTTTCACCAGTGGATGCATTTTATCAGCGGATAACATTGCATATATGACTCCAGACGTATGATTTTGTCTGATATCATGCTCCGCTTACTCAATATTCCAAAGAAGGCGGAAATTTTCCTTCTAGGTAGAATTATAAAATCAGCAGTAATTCTAATTAACATATAACAAATAATACTATCTCCATCCCATTTTATGTTATGAGGTTCAAAGTACAACGGTCAAAGCCCCTAATTTTCGGTGTAAAATCGGATATAGATTTTTCAAATTTTTGAAATAAAATATATAGATTTAAAAACTGCATAAAAGTACTATAAGACCGAACAGTCAATAGTTCAATATTGAAATATGTCTATAAAATAGTAGACAAATAAAAAACTACTCCCTCCGTTTAAATTTAAATGACACACTTTCTTTATTAATCTGTTCCAAACAGAATGACACATTTAAAAACAATTTAACTTTACACTTTTCGTTTTAACCGATTTACCCTTAATGAGAAGCTTTTATAGCCACACAAATATTATGGTCCCACAAAGAGACTACATGTTTCACAAGTCTTCTTCTTTTTTCTTAAACTTTGTGTCAAGCCAATCTATATTATCTAAATTGAAACGGATGGAGTATTAGACTCCCCAAATAGTAATAATGTCACATAAAATGGGACAAGATGGAGTATTTGTATAATTTTAAACTTGATCTGAGATCTAACACTCTTTTTGCAGCTACCAACTATTATCTGAATAAATCCATTGAAACTTACGTACGTTAACTCATTCAAACTATCTCAGAGAAAAAGTATAAACTAAGACAATCATTATGGGACAGAAGGAGTATTAAGCACTAACTTCACACGACACATACACCAGCTAGGTATGATGTGCACGGCATAGACATGTTTCTGTATGCATTTAATTAGATTATATCTTAGACACATGCATACACAATTTTCAAGCCATACACATGCATGCTGTTCAATTTTTAACATGTTGGTATGACGACCCGATAGGTCGTTTTAAGTACGAGCCTTTATTTCTGTATTCCGAGACCTCTCATAGCTTCATTTGATGATTTATGACTTGCGTACGTGGTGCGTGTCTTTATTCGGAAAGCTTTTAAGTGGAATTTTGAAGCAAACATGATTTTTGACTTAAAATAAGGCTAGAGTTGACCACGGTCAACGTATTTTGGTAAACGATATCGAATCGATATTTAAACGATTACGGTAGGTTCGTATGATGTTTTTGAACTTGTACGCATGTTCGATTGGGGTCTCGAGTGACTCGAGGGCGTTACTGCGCGTTATGTGAAAGATTGTAAAATTTCGTTTTAAATGAAGCTATGAGTTTCAGGTGCATTGCAGACTGATTTGGAACAACTGATGCATAGTTGTTGCTGGTGTAAACTTGCAGGTATCGCAATTGCGAAGACCTGCTCGCAATTGCGAGCCTGACGCTGCAAATGCGAATATGGGCTCGGGGCTGGAATTTCGCATTTGTGAAGTAAATTTAGTTCACTTTTGCGAAGTGAGCTGGGATCACATTTGCGATCTTAGTGTCACATTTGCGAACACAGTGCATAGTAAGAACAGCTATGTGAAGCATTACTCGCATTTGCGATTGGGGGGGCTATTCGCAAATGCGATGATTATGTCGCATTTGCGACTATCGCATGTCTGTGACACTGATCGCGTTTGCGATCAGTTGTTCGCATTTGCGGATATCAGTTCGCAATTGCGACATCTGCACCTG